TATATATATATATATAGCTTTATTATAATTCATGCAGGGAGTTTTACAGGGAGTTTTAAATTGCAGACACTGCAATTTAAGTAGAACAGGAAAGGAAAACAGGAAAAAAAGGAGAAAAGATGAAAAAAAACAGTAGTATTATTTAATCTGACATGTATTCTGTGGTACCTATGGTAACTATGGCAACTGGTGGTAACTTTGATCTTTAAATGACATCAGCTGATGATTTATCCTTTATCCCCTTTATCCTTTCCCACATCATTAAATCACATGGATGATGCTAGTCAAGCATCCTTCTGGAAAAAAGACAAATGCAGCAACTTACTGAAGCTCTCCATTATAAAACCAAACACATATGAAGGGGTATACATTAGCATGTGTCACACACAGTACAGTAAAAAAATAATTTATTTTTTATCAATTCTGTGACATATATAGTTCTTAACCTCCTGATACAAATGGCAGGAGCTCCTCTTGCTAAATGAACTATCGATAGGAAGCATCCTGCTTCCTTTCCTTATCTCCTTCCTTAATTCCACCACTAAAGAACTTATCATTGTGACTTTTGACACACTTCCACTCCGACTTACAGTTATTATTGATTGGCTGTATTTGGTTGGACCATAATCTGTCTTCCTTTATAAACCAACAAGAGACAGATAGCACCTCTTCATATGAAGGGATATACATCATAACAAACTTGCAACGAGAGAGTCAGTGCTAGGGCTACATCTCCACATTATGAGGATCAAGGCAGTAAAAACAATCTTATGATGATTAAAATGGAATAGGAAAAGAGATGCATTTGAATCACAGATGGATTTATTTGTTCTTTTTTAAGCTATGGAGGGAAACACAGATTCCCTGTGTCTCAATTAAATTGCAACGTGACTCAAAAGACCGACAGTTTGAGAAATCTGTTGATCATCAACTTTGCAGTTAATGATGAGTTACTTTAGAGCAGCAAAACTGCATAACTGTACCTTTGTTTGCAAATTATTTATGCCCCAATGGAAGCTGCTGTTGACTAATCCAAAATAATGGTGTGGATCTGGTGAAAAATGTTTTTGTTTTTTGTGTTGCTGCTTAATGGCTTTAATCAAAACCAGTGTGTTTGTATCTGAAATAGGAAATTATTATCTGAAGGTGAGAAGCTGTTTATTTGTACTTGTCTCCCACTTATCTGGAAGGGGGTCGTGGGGACAGCAGTCTCAGCAGACATGCCCAGACTTCGCTTTCCCCCCAGATACCTCGTTCAGATTCACTAGAGGGAAGCCTGAGGCGTTCAGCCGACAGACATAGTCCCTCCAGCGTGTCCTGGGCCTCCTCCCGGCGGGATGTGCCTAGTCTGTTCACAATTTTTGTCTACGTAAAAAAGAATTTAAAAGACCTAGAAATGTCGATTGGTATGGAATCCAGTGGATGATTTAGAGGGAATTTGTATGGGAAGTAAAAAGAATGCAAATAAATTGTTGGAACTAAATGTGAAATCCCCTTAAAAGGTGTTACAGATAGAATAGAAAATCGTCAGCAGGCTTTCATGACCTGTGTAGAACAGAGGCTTTTCAGCTTTCAAAGGGAAGTGGAAGTGAATAATATTTTCAACAACCTCAGAAATACCTGGAAATACATATTTCCAGCTGGAACTATCGTTTACTCTATAGATGTTGTTAGAAGCCATTATCACAGTCTGGGGCCACCCATATAACAGAGAGGGCCTGCGCTCTTCGCTAATGGATTTCAGAAACAAAGACCAGGCTGTGATTATAAAACCTAATTAGTCATCATGAGAGGATTGAACAGCCAGTGGTTATTTATGCAAATAATTGTTCAGCAGAAGAGGAAGTGGACAACACAGAGGGAAATATGGCAGACATCTGTGGTTCCCATGAGCAGTCAGATTAGCATCTGAAAAATACCATGTTAAACATCACAGCTGGTTTGAGATAAACTGGGCAAACAGGTCGCTGAATATTCTTTCTGTCATGTTTCATGCAAATAATTCTATTTTCATACAATACTGTTTGTTTTATGTAAAAGAATAAAAAGATGCTAAAAACATAATTACAGAGAATGTGTAAAACAGCTTATTTTCTGGGGACCTATAAATATTTAGGTCATGCATTTTGTTTAAAGTTATGCTAAACTTTTCAGGTAAACATTTAATACTAAATCTCTTCCCAGTTTAATAACTAACAAATAAAGATGCCAAGAAATAACCGAAAGACAAACTTATAGAAAATCTTTCCTATAAAATCCTCCATGGTTGATTTTTAGGGGAAATAACCAGTTTAATGTAAATCATTCTAAGTACTCAGGGATGTTTTGCTTTAAGATGAAACTTGCTATCATTCTTTACTATTTTAATGTTTTGATTTAGATTCATTAACTCTAAGATGAGGAATTTAACTTATTTACCAAGTGTCTTACTAAAAAATTAAAATGTTATGCCCCCTGGTGGTTAGGTTTCGCTACTGCAGATGCTGTATAACTAGGTTGTGCTAAGCGTCTCCTTTTCTTCCTGTTCATGAATTATTCAACATTATGGCTGCAGTTTTTGCATCTTAACAGCTCTGCTGCTTCATCCTCAGCAGCTTCTTATGACTTGATTTTTTTTTCTTTGTTCGAATATAACACATTTTTATATTGTTTGTTTCCAAAAAGTCTGATCAGTGCAACACGTGAATGTGGCTGCGCTTATTAAAAGGATCTTTGTGCAGAGAATGAGCGGTTTAGAAATATATGGTTAAATTATCAGTGGAAATTTACAATTTCAGGGCGGAGTCACTGCAAACAGCATTATTCTTTGAAGCTTTTTGTTGATTTGAACATTTTGAGCTACGTCCATAAGGATGATAGACTTAAATCTATTTAATTGTTTGATACATACAGTACCAGAGATATGCACTTAAATATTCATGCACAAAACCAACACAAAATCAATTTGAATTCTTATTGCAAAGGCTAGCTTTAATCTGAAGCAAAATGTATTATCCAACTCTGCCCTCTAACGGTCAGGCAGTAGAATGCAACCACTGCTTTCTGAAAGAAAAAAAAATCTTTCTTTGTGCTTGACTTTGTTTTATTTAGAAAAATCCGATTTTTTTTAAATTATTTAAATTAGCAACAACAATCATCACAATAATTGGTGCTGATTATTTTTATATTTAAACAGCACAAAGTTACTTGCTGACTAAAGGTTTTCATCTTTGCTCTTTTTGTTACAGAAGCTCAGGTTAAAAAGCATAATTCTGAACAGCAGAATGAGAATCATTTAATTAAACATGTGCTCTCTGTCATATTCCTAATACCAGGGCTCCTGCGGCTCCTGCTGGGCCTTCAGTTCTGCCGGGGCACTTGAGGGCCAGCTGGCCAAGAAGACAGGTCAGCTGATTGACCTCAGCCCTCAGAACCTGGTGGACTGTGTCAAGGAGAATGACGGCTGTGGAGGAGGGTACATGACCAACGCCTTCAATTATGTGGAGGAAAACGGAGGCATCGACTCTGAGGAAGCCTACCCATATGTTGGACAGGTGAGAAAAGTGACAATGTCCATCTCTGCAATGCAGAAAGTTGTGTCTATAAACAAAGAAATCATTTTTGCACCAAGCGAACAATTAGATCTCTAAGAGTTTTTCAAAACATGTTTACCTTGCTTACATTTATATGTATAATTAATGAAGCTTTGGAGGAATCTTTCAAAGATGATCAAGCTTTGCTTTGATTTTGTTTAAACCCAACTTGGTTATTTCTGATTACCTTTGTTTTGTGGTTTTGAATGTCTTCACTGAAAGAGGAAAAGGTTACTGTTTTTTTTTTTCTAGCAGTAAGGTTCATATTCAGAGTGAAACTGTAAAGGTCAACAGTTTTCCTTTTGTCTGTCACATTGGCACGCTGACCAATTCGCATGTCTTAATCTTACATAAGCAGGAAAAAAAATAAAAAATAAGTAAAACATAAGATAACACGTGACCGAGTTCGTGACTGGCTGTCGATTATGAGAAAGAAATTTCCCACAAGCAAACAAACTTTTCCTCTTCTGTAATTCCAGGGAGTTTAATTGTTTGAGCTTTCGGAATGTGATCAATCAGGTTTTGTGGGTGTGACTCTATACTTTTATTTTGAAACTTCATATTAAAAAAACCCTTTTCAAAAATATGTATTTGTTAGGAATTCCTCCACCTATTTATGACTGCATAAAGCTAAATAATATATTTTTGTTAAGTTTTGAAGAGGCTGCAGCTAATTCAAGACTTCCTCTTATTGTGCTGTGTCTGCAGGACCAGCCTTGCCGCTACAACTCGTCAGGCATGGCTGCCCAGATCAAAGGCTACAAAGAAGTGCCAAAAGGTAATGAGCGAGCGCTGGCAGTGGCACTCTTCAAAGTGGGCCCAGTGTCTGTGGGCATCGACGCCACCCAGCCCACCTTCCAGTTCTACCAGCGAGGTCAGTTACAGCTGAGATGACATTTTCAAATCTATGACTTTAATGTTTGTTAAACATAGAAACAGAAAGTTGATTTTTTTATCATACTTTACATAATATATCTATTAATTAAATTACAAAAAAAAAAAAAAAATAATTAAACATATTCTGTTGTAAGCTAAAAAAAAGTTTCATGGACTTTTAGGAAGAAGTTGCGTATATCTTATTTGTTGATGTTCCCAGGCATTTACCATGACCCCAACTGCAATAAAGAAGACATCAATCATGCCGTGCTTGCAGTTGGCTACGGTGTAAACACCAGGGGAAAGAAATTCTGGATCGTCAAGAACAGGTGAGGATCCCCTGCTTTCTGAACGGCATCAGGTGGCTCTCGGTGCAAACTAAATGAAGGCAGAGTTTCCTGTTATGTTGGTGATTGGATGTCTGTCAGTTGATGTCCAGTTCTGACAAACTGATGAAGTGAAACGCTGGTTCACACCTGTCCATGTTCAATATACGCTGTTCTTTGTTTTGTCCCGACAGCTGGGGAGAGAACTGGGGTAACAAAGGGTACGTCCTGATGGCACGTAACCGTGGCAATCTGTGTGGCATCGCCAACCTGGCCAGCTATCCCATCATGTAAAAGAATCTGAGCTGAAAAGAAGGGAGGAAAAGGAGACCTTACTCTGACTTTAAGACACCACTACAACAACATATCACATTGTTTGCACCTCATGGTTTTTATGTCGCATTGAGTGAAAAAGGTCAGAACGAAGAAAACATTGCTGGTCAATGGAAGCTCCTCCCTACCTGTGGCTGGAGAGTCAGTTCCCATAAATATTCTGGGTTTTTTTCTTATGATCATGTGTTTTGTTCTTTGGTTCAAGCACTTTTCCTATGATTGAAATGCAAACTAGTGTTTTCTATTGTAATGAATAAAAAATTAAGTTTGAATTAAAAAAAAAACATTTTGTTCTTCTTTTTTGGCTGATCCCAGAAATATAAAGTTTTTTTTTTATAAAAATCCTCAAATTCTCTAACAAGCCAATGAGGAGAGGACCCATTCTGTTTGCTTTTAAGCAGAGTAGTTAAAGATTTTTTTGTAACAATTACTTTGGAGTCAAATAATGTAATGACAGTAAAAAAATAAATGTTGTCCACTTCCTCTTCTGCTGAACATTTAGTTGAGGGTAAATGTTTCATCCTTTATCCAAATGAATTTATCAATTCAAAGCTAGTAAGGGGAGAAATGTAAAGCTTTTTGGGAGGACATGTTGTACAGTAGATCTAAATTCTCATGCAGGTTGGACTCTCTTAACAAGAGGGTCCGGTTAGGGCTGCTGCTGGTGTGGTTTACTGAGACATGTTTTATTTTTTATTTTTTTTTCTTTATTGAAAACTTCAGAATTTACAGACAAACATGGCCGCATAGAGTTAATTTCTTCAAGTCAGGTTACATAGAAAATATAGCCAGGGGGAACATCTCTTCACACAAATTGAAGTATATCTATAACATAGACTTGCTATAGAGAGCTGTTAACATAAACATCAGAGACATAAAACCAAATAAATAAACAAAATAGAAATTTATAAGATAATTTTAAAATAAAAACAATAATATAAATACAACAAAATAAGAAAGTATAACATGAGGGGAGAATTCAGTCTTTGTTTTAGCTGTTTACTTCTGTAGGGAAGCGTTTTAGGGTATCATATATGTTTTGTGCTTTAGGACCTTTCAGAATCTTTAATGATTTTATACATATTTTAAACTCGTTTAAAAAAACAAATCTACATTTATGAATGAAAAATTTAGCTTCACTGAGACATGGTTGGTGTTCTGCGTGTGGCCATGCTTTCCTACATGGCTGACCTTTTTTCAACACTTTGAGAAAATTCTTACATATGTATACAGTTCTATGTCACATATAGTAAACCCCGGGAGATGTGTTTCTGTGTGCAGGATACGTGTCACTATATAGTTAGAAATATAGTCTGATTTTTAGATCACACAAACAGTGTTAGTGTATCAACAACAAAAGCTTTGATTCTCTGCAAAACAAGCAGTAATGCATCACCTCTTACTTGAAAATGTCAACTTAATAAGTTGATTGTGACCAAAGTTGGTTTCAAAATGCTTCAGCCTTGGATATTTATCTAAGAAATTAACAATCAATGTGAGAAGTTGCAATTTAGACTTGAAATGCTGATTGATTACGAATTGTTATCAGAATATTCTTTTTGTCATCTTCTGAATCACTAACCTGACTCCGCCAGATGGATTTGCTCCGCATATCCATCTGGAAGCCTTCCGTTGAAGTAATTTTGGGTAGGAGCGAAAATACTGGTTAGCTGATTGGCCTATGTTGGTGATAGACGGGCCAAATAAACCAATCAGATCAACGAAGCATATGACGTACTAACAGAGCGACGACGAAAACACAACCACAAGATCAAACTCTTGCCGAAACCAGTCGGGAGAAGAGCAAAAACATCTTTTCCTCTGAGAAAAGCCACCAGAGCAGTGTTTTGCTCTTCTTTCAGCGAAGAAATACTCTGTAATTCCGATAAAACTTGCTCGATAGCCACGCTAACGCTAGTTTCATCGGCTGAAGCCGCCATGTTCTTTAGGCTGAACTGTCACGCTTCTCGTTGCGTCACACCTCAATCGCCTCAAAGCCAACGCTGATTGGACGTTCGTTTGGTGAACGGCTCCAAACTTTCTTTAACGGAGAGTCTCCAGACTGATTAGCGAGCGAAACCTTGAAAACTCAGGAGATCAGGATGGTCTCACAAGGCTACTGAATCAGTTGCTTGAAACAGATTCATTTTTTGTGCCACAATGTATAACAAAAATAAATTAAAACTCCATTAATAAACAAATATGAGGATTAATTAATTTGTTTAAACTTCAAATAGCTGATTTATGTAAAGAGGAAATTGCAATGAATATAAATTGGTTAAAACAGACAACATAATCACTGGCTTTAAACTGATGCATCATTGCTGTGACACTATTGGAAATAGTGGAACTCTGGTGTACGACGTCGTGAACTTTAGCCTGTCACAGCATTTATTGTTGCCTATCAGGCAGGGCAGGGCAAGCAGTGTAATAAAAAACAAAGTTAAAACTCTGACAATGAGCCGTCAGGCAGAAATGTAACTAAGAAACATCAAACCATTTATAGTATATTATTACACTGAATGTATTGAAAACTAAACACACTTATGGTTCAACCATGTTTTCTGTATTTCTTCTGTGTTTAAGACCTCTGCCTAGTTCTTCCTGACCTCCAGGAAATGCTGCTAGCTTCTAACCTTTCATCCACTTCACTTTGAGGTCAGTTTTTCATCTTGACCTTCACACTTTGGTCCAGAGACTCTTCTAGTTGGAGCTGAATGTTGGCTGAATTTCGAAGAGGCTTGTGTTGCCCTTCAGAGCATTTAAACAGACCTTCTTGACCTTTTCTCGTTGCATTAAAATTTTGGCTTTTCTTAAAAAAAAACAAGGATATAGCTACCAATTCATCATAATTTTGTATATTTTGTATCTTTGCAAGACGGTTTGTCAACTTAAAACTATAATAAAAACAGATATCTCAAGATATTACATGAAACCAACAAAAATACATTTTAAGAGATATAGTCTTGATGCAAAATTAGTTTATTTGTTATGTTAAAGATAGAGTCTGTGTAGGCATCTTGATGCTCTATCTCTCTGGTTCTTTTTCCTGAAAATAGATCACTCAGGACAAACTATTTTAATAACACTTCATAAGTAATATGTATTAAAAAACCAGGAGACATGACAACAGATTTTGATATAAATTGTAATCTTTCTCAGATCAGAGAAGTTGCTTAGACAGAGGCGTAGCCAGAAAATTTTTATAAGGGTGGCCAGGCAATAACCAATGTACACTTAGGGGTGGCCGAAAATGGATAGGCACCAAAACCTCAATCTACTGTTCAGAGACAAACTATATTTTCCTGCAACCTTTGCTAACAAATAGATGCATATATTTAAACATCCATGCTTATAGTATAAAGTGGATACCATTCTTTCAGGTTTGAGTTCTGAGGCGGAAAACTTTTCCTTTGTCTCTACTTACCTACTTTTATCAATAATCATCCTGCATAAAATTGATATTTACAAGTATTAATATCAACATAAATTCATTATTTATTAAAATTGTTATTAAAATAGATATTAATAGTTATAGCTATGATTTTACTAAAGACTCCTAGATGATTGCAGAGACACATCATTTTCTCTTCAGCTCATAAAACACAAAATCTAGTTCTGAAAAGAGCAAGAATTCTGTACTTATCATCTTTAATGTTAGTATATTGATGTACATAATTAACCACAATGTTTTTGCTATGAAGTAATTATGAATATATATTAAAAAAAATTGTAATATATGAAAAACAAAAAGTTTTTGAATATTGCAGTTGATTATGGGGGGTATGTTAGGAGTGGCCAAATGATTGGCTAAGGGCTGCTATGGCCACCTCTGGCCCCCCATCTAGCTCCCCCCCTGTGCTTAGAGTTTATATAACGCAGCTGCTCACCTCTTGGCTCACCTTCCAAGGGGGGGTCCCCGAATAACAATTAAAGAGGCATTTTATACATCTCCAGTCTGTAACATCATTATACGGAAGAGGATTAGGGCCACTGAAAAAAAAAAATTAACTGATTTTTTAATTCTATTTCATGGGAGTTTAACATGGGAAAGAAAGTCAGAATTCTGACTTTTTTCTCAGAATTCTAACTTTAATCTCAGAATTCTGACTTTAATCTCAGAATTTTGGATCTTAATGTAGATGGGTACCATGAAGGAAGAGATTTGGAAGCACTCAGCTTCACTGACAAAGATGTCAGTTGTTTGAGGTGGCCAGTGACACATTGGTGGAAAATGACGGAATTAGGCAACTTTTTACATGCCTGAGGGGTGCCCTCATTAATGGAGGAGCAGAAGGTCATTAAAACAAGAGAGCTAGTCTCTAAAACAGACATGGCTATGGCTTGATGCTAACATGTTTGTTAGCTGTCAGAATTCTGAGAAAACAGTCAGAATTCTGAGAAAAAAGTAAGAATTCTGACTTTTTTCCCATATTAAACTGAAATAAAATGTAAAAATCAGTTAACTTTGGCCCTAATCCTCTTCCATATCATCACATCATTACATCATACATGTTAGCAGATGAGTAGACATCCATGGCTCCAGCCTTATCAAAATATTACACCTTGTTCTTAGCTGAAAGACACCGCTCTCATTCCATTCCCAAAACTCTGCTACGTTCAGAATGAAGATTATAACTGTAAATCCAGACAGAGGAACTGTCTAAATTAGATTAAAACATCAGTTCTGACATGCAACAGGCAGCTAATACACTGAAAAAAAATAACGCAACTGCTTTTGGCATTTACTTAATCATATTTAGTTGCTTTAACACAATTGTTTTATGTCCTAACCTGCTAACTAAATATGATTAAGTAAATGCCAAAAACAGCTGGATAATTTTTTTTTTCCTAGAACCTTTGCTAACACATAGATGCATATATTTAAACATCCAAGCTTTCTAGATAAAAGGTATAGTGTATACCATTCTTTCAGGTTTGAGTTCTGAGGCGGACAACTTTTCCTTTGCCACTACTTACCTACTTTTATCAATAATCATCCTGCATAAAATTTATATTTCATTCCCAAAACTCTGCTACGTCCAGAATGAAGATTATAACTGTATATCCAGACAGAGGAACTGTCTAAATTAGATTAAAACATCAGTTCTGACATGCAACAGGCAACTAATACACTGAAAAAAATAATGCAACTGCTTTTGGCATCTACTTAATCATATTTAGTTGCTTTAACATAATTATTTTATGTCCTAACCTGCTAACTTGAAACAATTATGTTAAAGTAACTAAATATGATTAAGTAAATGCAATTTTGTAATTTTTTTTCAGTGTAAGGTGTAACAACCTCACACATCATCAATGATAATAAACAGTTATTTTTAAAATGTTCTCCAAATAAACATTAATCAATTTTACAAATAAAATACATAAAAATAAAAAATACATTTTAGTAATTTTCAGTAAAGATCTGTAAGAAACCCCTAGTGTGTACCAGTCCATTATTATGTCATCTTGGAGAGTTTTTGCAGTTCCTTTATTTGACTGATGTCTGCAGAGCGCCTGCTTTTTAATTAAGCGCCTATAAACGCATCGGTGTTACGCAGTTTCGAAAGAGGAAGAGCTGCCAAATCATGTGACATTTCTGCATTAAAACCAAGCAGGAACACACAGAGGGAGGAAGCTGAACTTCTACAGCGATGAATCCACCTCAGAAAGGTCAGTTAATTTAGATTTAACTGCTTAAATGCTGCCATTATATATGATATTGGATCAGTTTATAGCCTGATCTGAGGAGCGCCTGGCTTTACTTTCGATTTTGGATGTTTTTCTTTCTCTCTCTCTTTTTTTAGTCTTCCTTTGTGTTCAGGTGTTTTGAGTTCAAGGAATTTGGTCGCTTTGACTGCGCGCCTCTAACTGTAATTACAAGTAAAAATATTTACATTTCATCTGGAATTCTCCAACACTATCATTGTGCCTTAATCCTAAAAAGTGAGCGCAGTTTTAGGTTAAACAAACTCTAGTTAGTTTGTTAATTTATAGATTCAGTAGATAAGATATTCACTTCCTTCTCGCCCTCTTTCAAAGAACATTGATAGGTTTTTATCCTCCATCAGTTTATGAGATGAGAGATAAAAGGGAAACAGTCTCTATTTAATGAAGATGATGGCAGCTTTACATTTCCTGATAACATAAGTTTCACATTCGGTCACGAGATCAAACTGCTCTGTTATTCAAGGTTTTTTTTTTCTTTTTTTTGTGCAATTATTCTTACCATTTAGATTTTGTAGAAGTGATACTTGCTGACAGTGAAGATCTTTCAAACCCACATAAACCCAAAACAAAGTCAGAGACATAGACAGTTTGGAAAATGTTAAAACTAAACACATCAAAATGAAAGTGAACTATTAATTCAAATCAATATTGCACATAAACTGGTAAGATATAAAGTTTATCCTCCATGTTTCATGTTTGATGTCTTTAATGTGTTTATTGACTTTAATAAACATGTTATAAATAAAAAATATATATTAAGCATAATCTTTTCTATATAAAAGGGCTCTCAGTACTATTTTGTTTTAATAAATTTAATGTATTAGATCTTTTGAATAATAAAATAAATCTATTCTGTCCTTTCTTTACAAATCAAAACACTACAAGTCGTCCAAATAAGCAGTTTTACTCATGTTGGCAGATATATTAACACCAAACTTTCTTTAAAGACAGAAGTTTGCCCAACACTGATGTAAGTTGGTTTGATGGTGTAACAGCATGACTTATCCAGCTCAGTTTACAGGAAGTCTCAAAGGGCTTCTTTGAAAACACATCAACATTTAAAACCACAAGAAGTCTTCCCATGATGTATACCCTTTTTTTTTTTTTATTCATCACCATATAACATCAGATCATGTGTCTTTGGTATCAATATTCCTATAGGTTGCAGTTTTGTAGAAATATTTGCTGACTAATTGTCTGCCATTTTTAAAAAATTATTATTCCTATTTTTCACGCTAATTAAAAGAAAAAAAATGTTCTTTAAAAAAAATCCTTTAATTACTTTCGGATGACATAAAGCTGTTGTCTTTTTAATATTTAGTTCACAATGTATTGCCAGATTTATTTTACTTCCATTTCTTTGAAAAGTAAATAGAATAAATTTAAAACTAAGCTGATAAAATTCCAATTAACCCGCTTTGGCTACAGTTTCACCATGAGGGTGTCACAACTAGGATTTTAGACAAATTTTTATTTTATAAGTATGTTTCCTTTAACCTGGTGACAGACATAAAGTTAGCTTTTAAAAACCACTTCCTCCTACACCAACCTAAAAAAACAAGTGTGTTCTTCCTGCAGCATTCTTGGCTCTATGTGCATATATAAATGCCCGTTCTTAACGCCTTTAATGGGTTGAAGAGGATAAAGAAAATTAGAAAATTTAAAAAGGGGCTGAAAATATTTATCACAATAAAAGCACGTTTTCTGAAAATTGTATTTTTGTTTCGAGAGTCAATCTATAGTCTTTATTGGGATGTAATTATGTTTTTCAGACATCAGCTCAGAACGCACATAAATTATACTGAGACCATTTTAAAAAGCTGCATTTATTAAAAAAACCCTTTTTATTTTGCAGAAAAATTAGAGGCATTTGTAGAAGATGTAAACATCTTGATTAGAAAAAAATATTGATATGGCAATGCAGCATTTATGTTTCTTTTAAAATGCAGATTGTGTTGAAGCAGTTTTTTTTTAAATGGGCTAGAGGTCTTATTCAAGCCTCTGTTGCCTATTATTGCAGTTTGTGTTTCTCAAACATCCAATGTGTGCAATAACCCAATGCCAGTTATTACACACTCATTGCAGACCTATGTTATCCTTTATCTTTATATGTAAAAAATCTGTTTAATTTATGTGTAATAGTCAAAGTATCAGTCTCAGTTTTTGTATTTTTTAATCATTTGCTGACACTTGAAGGCAAAAAACACAAAAGACAGATTTATTATGTTCAATTTTAGACATCAAGGGATTGATTTTTAACCATTGCTGTGCATGTGTGGATGTAAACATGTTATGCAGCTGAAGAGAGGTATGTGTGGTTTTTTATATCAGAGCTGCTCATCTGTTTTTTAGCTTGGCAAGTTATTTTCTCGCCTAACAAAGCTCACATCTGCCTTATCGAAGGTCAGATGACATCCTGTTCTGTCTGTGTGTTTGCAGGCATGATGTTCGGGAGCCTGCTGCTCGCATGTCTGTGCGTGGGAGCAGTGGTCTCGCTCGACAGTCGTCTGGACAACCACTGGGAGCTGTGGAAGAAGACGCACGGCAAGATGTATCAAAATGATGTATGCAATTCAAGATAACAGGGCGATGCCGGTTCTTTCACAGACTGCGTTTTTGATAAGCTCCTATTTCTGCCCCCTACTCAAACCAAAAAGCCCATTCTTTCCTTTTACAGACCCCATTGGGATTCTTAAGCAATATAAAAAAAATATCTGATAATAATCTACTAACAATTTTATGAATCAGGAATGAGTATTACAGCCTAGGCATGAATAGTCTAAATGTTGCATTCATGAGTAACAAATGAAAACTTTTAAAATGTTTTAAAAGTCATAAATAGTGTTGAAAAAACAACAAAAAACAAACTGTTTTTAGTGTATAATTATGAAAGTGAGGGATGGCCAATCTAGGAAGTTAACATCTTTAACTTAGGATGTCAAAAACTTGATCCAAATAAACTTTTAATTTGCACTAAATCATAAGTCATGAATCAGATAAATTGTACAGCTTAATGTTCTTACACTGACTACACTGCTTACCACTAGGGGGGCTATTGCTATATTGACTGAAAATGTAAATTAGCAAGAAAATCCCTCCAATAATGGTGCATTCGATTTACCTCGAAAACTAAAGACTCAGAGGGACGTAATTCCCGCTATGAAAGCATTCCAGTGATCTATTTGTGGAGCTATTGTTATGTTCTTCCTGGTGCAACCACTGGTATGTAATACGTATTAAACTGACTATCAGTTAAGTATAAATGATGGCTAAAAACAGTTGCAGTAAGAAGGCTTTATGTGCTATTGATGTGTGTAGCAGCCACCATGAATAGGGAAGTTGGGTATGATACCCTGACTTTCCAACCTCTGACCTTGACTTTCGTGGGTGCTCCAGTTGAAATTTCCTGTCCCGAAATTGGAAAGTCGAAGGACAATTTAAATGGACCATAATTCAGAAAAAAAAAAACAGACATTGAACACATCGACATCAGTCAATAAATATATTACTACTATGGCTAAAATTCTAATGTTCACATAAAATTAAGTTACTGATAATAATTAAAGAAATCCCCATATATAAAGAAATTAAAATAAATCGGCTCTTATAGTTTATCATTTCTATGTGCATTGAATTTGCTTTGTGTAACAAATTTGAGTATAAATATGATTAAGTGTTTAAAGCACGAAGGATGAGCAAAAAGACCCAGAAAGCTCAACAAACTGCTCCTTTTTGTTAATATTTAAAAAAGCATAACTGCTCCCTCAGTGTAAATAACAGGTTATGTGAATTCATTCCTAACTGATTCCTCACAAGAAGCATCATATGATGTGTTAAAGCCCACAATACTAAAACCCTCGTGACAATTTTTTGGGTTAAAACATACTGAGGTGGAATATTGCAATGGTTTCTTTTCCGGCTGTAATCCGTGAGAGTGATGTCAACACGATGCCCGCTAAGAGCTGTCTCAAGATATGCAATCATGTCAAAACACACTTCTGCCATTGCTTATGAAGACATTTCTAAACCTCCTAATGCTACAGACAGCAACCCTGGGGACAAAGCAAAGATCTTGAATAACATATTTTCAGATAAAACCTGCAACTGTAATGATGTAAAAAAGATAAATAATACCAAAGATGCAAGAACAGAATACAAGAACATAGAGCTGCTCACTGCATAAGGCTCCACTGCTGAAGAAAAGTCTGCTGAAGATTTGCAACAGGAAAATTTGCCCAAGCGAGAAAATATTTTTTAGCTATATTTTTTAAATATCATTGCTTGATGCTATAGTTCAAACAGACAGCTACCAAACTCTACACTCACCGGCCACTTTATTAGGTACCCCATGCTAGTAACGGGTTGGACCCCCTTTTGCCTTCAGAACTGCCTCAATTCTTCGTGGCATAGATTCAACAAGGTGCTGGAAGCATTCCTCAGGGAGTATGATGCGAATCTCCCATTCCACCACATCCCAAAGATGCTCTATTGGATTGAGATCTGGTGACTGTGGAGGCCATTTGAGTACAGTGAACTCATTGTCATGTTCAAGAAACCAGTCTGAGATGATTCCAGCTTTATGACATGGCGCATTATCCTGCTGAAAGTAGCCATCAGATGTTGGGTACATTGTGGTCATAAAGGGATAGACATGGTCAGCAACAATACTCAGGTAGGCTGTGGCATTGCAACGATGCTCAATTGGTACCAAGGGGCCCAAAGAGTGCCAAGAAAATATTCCCCACACCATCACGCCACCACCACCAGCCTGAACCGTTGATACAAGGCAGGATGGATCCATGCTTTCATGTTGTAGACGCCAAATTCTGACCCTACTATCCGAATGTCGCAACAGAAATCGAGACTCATCAGACCAGGCAACGTTTTTCCAATCTTCTATTGTCCAATTTCGATGAGCTTGTGCAAATTGTAGCCTCAGTTTCCTGTTCTTAGCTGAAAGGAGTGGCACCCGGTGTGGTCTTCTGCTGCTGTAGCCCATCTGCCTCAAAGTTCGACGTACTGTGCGTTCAGAGATGCTCTTCTGCCCACCTTGGTTGTAACGGGTGGTTATTTGAGTCACTGTTGCCCTTCTATCAGCTCGAACCAGTCTGGCCATTCTCCTCTGACCTCTGGCATCAACAAGGCATTTCCGCCCACAGAACTGCCGCTCACTGGATGTTTTTTCTTTTTCGGACCATTCTCTGTAAACCCTAGAGATGGTTGTGTGTGAAAATCCCAGTAGATCAGCAGTTTCTGAAATACTCAGACCAGCCCTTCTGGCACCAACAATCATGCCACGTTCAAAGTCACTCAAATCACCTTTCTTCCCCATACTGATGCTCGGTTTGAACTGCAGGAGATTGTCTTGACCATGTCTACATGCCTAAATGCACTGAGTTGCCGCCATGTGATTGGCTGCTTAGAAATTAAGTGTTAACAAGCAGTTGGACAGGTGTACCTAATAAAATAGCCGGTGAGTGTATATTATCAATAGTAAACTTTACAAGGGAGTAACGTCATGGTGTTGGGCTGTTTTTTATGTCTCTAAATAGTAATGGCAGAGTTTTTTATTTAAAAAAATAAGGAATTTAATGATGAGTCTTGTCTGTTAGTCTGTTTGACTAAACTGGCCTAAAATCACCTGAGTGATGCATGCACCTTCTTTCTACATACAGTAGATGTTTAACAGCTAGGTTTGCCCAGGAAAACTTAATTTAATCGTGTTAAAAATATATTTACTACACAAAATGTCTGTTTTTTTAATTGCTTGTATTCCTCATAACCTCCGTTTTGACTAAACTGTTTGTCTTCTTTTGCTGTTTATTTTCCAATCATGCATTCAGGAGGAGAACATGCACCGCAGGGATTTGTGGGAGAAGAACCTGATGCTTATTACTACGCATAACCTGGAGGCTTCAATGGGGTTTCACAGCTACGATCTGAGCATGAATTTCATGGGAGACCTTGTGAGAATTACCTCTTTTTACTTTTACTCATTTAGTATTGGGGCTAAATAAGCTCCTTAGTAGTAGTTAAAAAAAAGTAAAATATTAGCACTTTGATAGATTAGTATTAAGCAAAAAACAATGTATGTCACCAGATAGAAAAATATTTAGGATCATAAAATATATTGACCTAGTATGACACGACATGATTTTAAAAAGCATTAATGTCTTACTGCTGGACACACAACAAAAATGCCTTCTAAGAAATAAGAAAAAATATAGTGTTTTAAGTGAATAATTGCTTATTTTGAGCAAAATAATCTGCCAGTGCAGCAAGCAAATGATACTTGGTAAGATTTCTTAAAACAAGAACATAATATCCAAGTAGTAAGCATCCAAAAAACTTAAATCAAGTAGAAAAATCTATTTTTTCTTGTTAAGATTTTTTCTCTTATTTTAAGCAATTTATTCTCATTTATTAGTCATTATTGCTTAGAAGTAAATGTCCTCTAACCAATTATTGCTCAAAACAAGCGTACAACAGGCTTAAAAACAAGGCAAATGTACTTGATACCAGTTCATTTAAAGGCTTAAAACTAATCTGTTTTTCTTAGCTAGAATTAATTTCATTATTTACTGTAGGTGTAGTGAATGTATGGGAAAAATACACTTGACAAAAACTTCAAAAAGTTTTTTTTTATTAACATTTTATTAGAAATGTCACAGAATTAAGCGAAATGTGTGCAATGTGTGCTATTTTAAGAAAAAAGCTATACAGAATTAGTTGTATTATCTAGTTAGGATGAAAAAAAAATGAATTTTCTTAAAACAAGTCAAATAATTTTAACAATATTTAGTCTTAGTAAGAAAATACATTGAAAAACAAGTGTTATAAGACCAAAAGCTGAATTCAAGGTTATTACACTTGTATAGATTTTCCTTTTTTGCAGTGCAAATAAGACGGATAACTATCTTCTGCTCAGATAGACATCTTAGTAAAAAAATATTTCTAATTATTCTCCACATATAAAACCAAGGTAAAGAGCAAGTAAGAAACCAAGACCTACCTACCATAGCTTAAAAACAGTTGTCTACTGATGCAATATATCCTTTGTTCCCTAAAACTACAATACAACAGTGAGCCTCTTTGGGCTAATCAGTAAATATCTGTTAACTGGTAGCAAAACTTCTATTATATTCAGGTCGTTTGTTTATTAAATTACAATCTTATGGATATGGCTCAAAATTATTTTCGGATGATGTATTTTATAAGCTGAAGATGCTTAAAGATTTAGCTTATGTATAAATATTTGGTCTACACTACAGATGATTCTATATGTTGACCTTTAGTGACCTTTAGGGGGTGTACAAGCAAAACTCGTCCTCAGTGGTTAAACTGTGTTTTAATGCTCTTCAGAGATCCCGTCTCATTTCCTTGAAGAAACAAACTTAATGGGAAAATAAAATCTAAATCCTGCAGAGTATAAATGATCTTCAGCTTACTGGTATGATAATGCAAGTTAATAGAAAAAATCATCTCAGCTTCTCCTCAAAGTGAGTTATGTAATCTGAGCAAACTAAATTATATGCTGTAGTGCCTCTAGGCTCTTTATTTTCCTCCAAAACAGATGTAGTTGGATAAGAGGGACGTCCAAAGTATGATAAGTAAAATTTAATAATGTCTTTAATTTATTTAGCAAAGCAAGCGTACGTAAACTGTCCTCTGAAAGGTTTTATATCTCCACAGTTAAATAAAACAATTAAAATAAAACATGGAGGGACTACGCTGTTGTATTTTAAAGCAAATCTATCACCTAACATCACTGTACCTCTTAAGGGTCAAAACAACTGGCTGCAATTAACTATTTAAGAGATGCACAAAAAAAAAATGGCTAGAGATTGGCCTACAAAGACGGACTGGGATTCACAACTGAATAAATCTATGTATATCTATTGTGTGTCTTAACTTTTATATATATTCTTTTCTTTTTGTTGATAGAGTCCAGAGGAGATCCTACAGTTTTATACCACACTTATTCCTCCTACTGACCTCCAGAGGGAGCCTTCATCCTTTGTAGGGGCAACAGGCTCTGATGTACCAGATACAGTAGATTGGAGAGAAAAGGGCTTGGTCACAAGCGTAAAGATGCAGGTAAAAGATTTGAATGGGAAGAAGAGATTCACATAGTCACAAAGAAACTAAACCCTTAGTATAAATGACATTTGTTAAATATTTCATTCAATTTAAGTTGAAAAACCTGTTTCTATTTGCTTTTTTCCTATTTCTTTTAACTTTTACAACGTGCATTCATTTGTAGTTGGTTTAGAAAGTTTTTGCTTGATTATAGCCAAAAGCAGTTTAGCTAATATATTTGCCACATATGAGTTTCACTACACTTTGACATTCAGCCTTCTTTTAAATCCAGGGTGCATGTGGCTCCTGCTGGGCCTTCAGTGCTGCAGGGGCCCTGGAGGGTCAGTTGGCCAAGAAAACTGGAAAGCTCCGTGACATCAGTCCTCAGAATCTGGTTGATTGTTCCTCCAAATATGGTAACCATGGATGCAATGGAGGATTCATGAGTCGTGCCTTCCAATATGTTATTGATAATCAGGGAATTGACTCTGAGGAAGCTTACCCCTATGCAGGAAGGGTGAGTAATTAAAAACATTTATGAAATGTATTTGATCTCTGCAGCTTTTTTTTTTAGAGTTACAATAGAAAACTGATCTGCTTGGCTGAATAAAGCTGTTTTTTGTTTCTTACTTGTAACAAACAAATAATGAAACACTTTTCTTTCCATGTCTTTGTGGGTTTGAAAATATGTCATTTATTAGATGAAAACTATAAATAAGAATGGAAAACTTTAAATAGATAATTGGAATCAAAATTTATGTGCATTCTTTGTATGTCGTGCTTTTCACTCTACATTTCCAATTAATGTATTTTACCAAAGACAATCTGGTTCATAAGTATTGAGAATGTGGGTGTATGTATGCAAAGAAAAGGAATAAGTTAGCCATTCCCTTCAAGCTCTAGACAGCAACACTTTTCACTTGTCTGTGGTTTTATGTTAACGTCTCTTTGGAAACATAAATTAATCGCAGCAGACAACATGTTTGTCCTCCGGGCTTCAGTTGGTTTGCTGTTTCTGTGGAGGAGGAGATGCGGCCTGCCTAAGGTCTGAGCAATAAATCCAAACTTTGTGATGGGAAATTCTCTCATAAGTAGAGTTGAACTTTAGTTTCTAAGCAGATTATTCTGAATGTCTTTATTAATAATACCATAAAAACCTCGGGAGAGTTTCTTTATACTTTCCCAATTGCATCAATTCAACCTGTGTTAGAGTTTGATGATTTTAGGGTATTGGTGAACCTCGGTAACAAATAACGAACTTCTTTTTGCTCAACAATCCAACATTTAATGACATTTTCAAAATATTGTTTCTATATTTAATTTATTTCCAAAATCTCCTGCATTCAATATACATAAACTGCTTATTTAATGCTGCAATTCCACCTAAATCCAAATTATATTTTTAAAAGAAGTTCACATTTTTGTTTCTATTTAGTTTTTCAATAATTTAGTTAAGCCTTACAGTCAATATTATTTATTTCTTGCCTTTTATTTTAGGACCAGGATTGTCGGTACAATGCCGCATTTCGAGCAGCCAATTGCTCCCGATACAGCTTTCTGCCAGAGGGGGACGAACAGGCTCTGAAGGAGGCAATTGCAACTATTGGACCTATTTCAGTGGCTATTGATGCCAAGAGACCCAGATTTGCTTTCTACAGAAGTGGTACGTTAGATGTAATCAAATTATTGTTTTTTTTTTTATAAATATAAAATTACTAATTAACCTTTTGTACTCAATTCCAGTAATATTCAAGTTATAACAGGTTCTAATTACCCAAAGGATTAATTGACAGTGATGTCTGTTTGTTGTGTCTCATCTTTTAAGGAGTTTACGATGACCCCACCTGCACCCAGAATATAAACCATGCTGTCTTAGCTGTAGGCTACGGCACACTAAATGGACAAGATTATTGGCTGGTGAAGAACAGGTGAGACATCATAACTGCCATGCAGTGATTACTCAACTATAAAACAGATCTTTGTTGTCAGAGAGCAATTCTGTCCTTTTAGCTTCTTACTGGTACAATGGCCTTAGAGAAAAGTTAGAAGTTATGGAATGGATTAACCAGCAGTTGCTCTGTAGGATTCAAACCCACCTGAAGACTCTAATCCAGTAACAGGAAAACTGGGTTTGTTTGTTTTACATTTTAACTGGTTTAGAGCTAATAAAATGAAAGAATAAGCAGGAATGTGAATATCATGAACAAATTAACTACACTTTAGTCCAAATACAGACATACACACAGCAGTATTGACTAAGTTCTGCATGAAATACCAATAGTTCCCCAACTGCCAGAGTTAAAAAGGGCTCTGTGCTCACTTTAGGTTTGTCATCTAATAATTTTTAGTTCTAAGTTTTCAAAACTGTAATGCCATCTGTTAACTGCTTTATTCACAACAACATAGCTTGGATGTTTCTTAAACCCCCTAAAATTTAAATATCAGCTCTTGTAATGGCTTTGCCTCAAAAGTCCTGAGTCTGAGTCAAAGTTATCAAAAATGAGCCATGGTTTAAAGCAACACACAGAAATAAAGCCCTCAGAGAATTCCTTGAAAAAGCCAAAAAATGTGATTTCTTATTACCGTAAGTTCTTATTAAGGGTCTGTGAGAAAAACAAAACTTGGTGAACTTAGTAGAAAGGTTGTTTTTGATGTTTTTAAGAAATTGTTTACTGTATTTTTAAATGCACTTTGCTCCCTGGTTTATTTCAAAAGCTTTTCTTTTTTAATTTGATAACACGCTCATACATGCTCATTATCTAGCCTACATTTTAATATTGTCCAGATTTAGAAGAGAATAAAAACATTTTGGTAACGCGGTAATGTTTGCATAAGGACAATACTTATGCTCCAATTATATATATTGTATAACCTCTTTACATTGTATTGACCATTTTGGTAGAATTAACCAGAGTATTTAGTATTATGATAAACTGTTAGCCTCATCCACTGACATATACTGAGTATTCTGTGTTATAGACATATTTCTAAATTATAAATATGTATGCATTGTTCAAAAAACATGCAAACAGTTCCAGTAGATTCCCTGAAGCTCTACTCAATGCCCACATAATGTAATATTTAACAGTAGAATGCACAGTATGTTAATTGGATTGTCTAATATGATAATTTCAGCATATTATGTCCCACCATTCAAAACCTGCATCTTTGAATTCTTCCCAAAGAAAAGAGAAAATATATTTAAGCACAGCAATATTTTGTTGTGCTTCAAAATGTATTAGTTACAAGTTCGGATTTACGTTTATTTGATAGCTTACATAAACAGAATCATTCATAGAAATTTGGAAATATTTTCAAAATGAGCATTATGTTAAGAGAACTCAATTTTTTCTAATTTTTCTCTCCTTTTGCATTCAGCTGGGGAACAAATTTTGGAGATCAGGGCTACATTCGGATGGCCCGCAACAAGAACAACCAGTGTGGGATTGCTCTGTATCCCTGCTACCCCATCATGTAACTAAAGGGAATAGATGATAATCTGTACAAAATTTTCATTTCTATCTCTAAAGTAATCAAATACTAGGTCTTGAAAACAGCACATTTGTTTAGTTCCTTTGTTCCTAAAGGTTTTCCGTGATCTGTTTCGAAAACTTTTTACATTTCTAATCTACATGTGTTAACTGGAATTCTTTTTAAGAATGAATGCTAAATCCACTGAAACTATTGTTTGTTTTTGTTAAAAAATAAAGAGAGATTAATTTTTCAGATATGGCTCCAGGAACCATGAGTTTGTATTTTTTTGAGACTTTGCACGAGACTCATTTTACATTTCAAATACCATTCAGATGTCTTCAGTTTAAAGCTACGCCAGTGTTTCCATAACATAATTTATAATTTTTTTCACTAATGTTAGTTTTAAAAAGTCATGGATGTGCAGCCATATCAAGACATTGGTATTAATTGATCAAGAGCTTTGAGCCTGCTATTTTGACATTTTTTGGCAAGGACTGAAAATCCTTTAAATGTCTGAAAGCATATATTTTAAAAAATAAATCAGAAATAAAAAGTTAACTTTTTTCCTGTTAGAACCAACTAGAGCAGAGGGTCAAACTCAGCTGGAAGGTACACTGTGCCTAAAGAGGGCCACACATTCCCTGCTTTCTTTGAAACACTTTATTATTTAATTACTCTTTTTTTGTATCTTGAATCATAAATCTACATTGAAACAAAGTAAAAAGATAATAATAAATACTCTTTTATAATGCCATTTTTTACTTTGTTAAATGATGTTTAAGTTTTTATACTCAAAGTGAATTTGTTACATACAATTATTTTTCCACCTATAAATGTCCTAACATTTAGGTGTAATTAAATCAATATTATACCTATACATAAAAGACAGGTGGTCTGAAAATCCACTTTTTAATTTAACTATAGAGTTCTTAGAGAAATAAAGACCAAGTCTCCGTTAGAGAAAACAATTTACTATGGGACATCTTTAAAGCCAAGTCCCCCTTTCAAAGCCAAAAAAAAATTACTATAAAAAGTAAAAACTAAAGTGATTCAGGGCTATTTTTTTACAAGACTTGCTAAAGGGAAAAAAGAAAAAAACACCAGTGAAAAGGAAGAAAAGTAACTGTTCTTCCAAGTCTCACCTAGCCTTTACCAAAAAACTTAAACTTAATAAAAATATGAACCCATTTATTCATCTCTCCTTGAAGGAAATATCACACCAATTTTAACTAATATTTCTAATGCATGTATAAACATGCATTTAGTAAGATTATTGACAAACAGATCTATTTACTAATTTCTCTTAAATTACAGTCTGTTTCTTTTTACCAACTAAAATAAATTCTTCACACTTTCCTTCACTGTATCTGAATACAAAAAGGTTATGAAAGATAAGCAAAAGCAGTTTCCAAATGTCCCTTTAACTGATCCACTTAGAGCTTCACTCTCTATAAACTATAAACTCTGTTATTTAATCCTGTCTTCATAAACTGTTGCTATTGTGCATCACAGGTCTATGTGAGCTATATTGAAGAGCTGAAGTTGAGTGTATGAATTAAGCCAAATAACGCAGTAATTAATAGCAACTCATTAGGCACCCTCCCATCTTTAATGTTAACACCAGTTACAGACTGTGTCCTCTTCACTGATGGTGGACAGATTTCAGCACCAATGCATGCAATCAGAACATGTGGTCATATGACACAATTTCCTATTAATGAGATGTGTATATACTTTTAGGCAAGTTCTTTTTCCATAGATACCGGTAGATATTTTTCAGTGAAATAAAACACTTCAAAGCAGAAATCCCAATATCGTTTGGTTTTACTAATAGCACACTTTCTTTTCAGCATATCTTCTGACCGTCATATGCTATTGTGCCCGTAGTCAGCACTTTTAACCCTAACTTGCTTACAGATTTGTCCATGAAGTATAAATGTGTAAACAGGTGCTCTTTTTTAAATCTGCTTTCAGTGGCCAGTATAACTGGAAAAGAGCCACTTTTTGTCAACTTACCACTCTTGTCCTTGGTTTACTGTGGCCTACACCATATACAAGCATTTGTGAATAATATACTATATGAAAATTAATCAATGATTAAGTGCAAAGATTTGGATAAGTTTATCTAGAATGATCAAAAACGGCTTCTGATTTACTAGGCAGATGTCTGTATTTAGCAGATAGGGAGAGAAGTCTGTCTTATTTGGTCTTATGCAACAGTTGATGTATTTTAAAGGTTAAGATGTTATTTTTGATAACATTGAGTAAGAGTACTCAATGTATCCGAATTTTGTAAGTATAGGGCTTCATAGCCACATACCATACCATACCATACCAACTTTATTTATGAAGCACTTTATGCACCGGACAGGACCAAAGTGCTGTACACAATCATAAAATACAATAAAATTATAAAATAGAAAAAAACGAGTGTAAAATACAAATTAGTATTCAAAGAGAATAAAACAAAGTAAAACCTCTCAAATTGTGCCAAAAGCCAAGGAAAAAATATGAGTCTTAAGAAGGGACTTAAAAACAGCAAGAGAAGAGGCCTGTCTTATGCTCAGAGGCAGACCGTTTCACAGCTTAGGAGCTGCCACAGAAAAAGCACGGTCTCCTCTGAGCTTGCATTTTGTCTTTGGGACCCTCAGAAGCAACTGATCAGCTGACCTGAGGGAACGGGAGGGTGTATAAGAATGCAACAGCTCAGATAGATAAGAAGGAGCAAGGCCATTAAGAGTTTTAAAAACAAATAAAATAATTTTAAAATCAATCCTAAAATGTACTGGCAGCCAGTGTAAGGAAGCTAAAACAGGGGAAATGTGGTCAAATTTTCGTGTACCTGTTAAAAGACGTGCAGCAGCATTTTGAACCCTCTGAAGTTGGGAAATATACAAGTCACTGACCCCTGTATAAAGTGAGTTACAGTAATCCAGCCGTGTGGGCACAAATGCATGGATCACTGTTTCAAAATGTTGTTTTGATAGAATGGGTTTTACTTTGGCTAGCTGCCTTAAGTGGAAAAAGCTGGACTTTATAACGGCTCTGATGTGCCCACAGGCCAGTTAGGGTGGTATTCCCTGATTCTAAAGAACCCTTGGACAGGATAATTAATCCACACAAAGCAGGGGTCTCAAACTCAAATCCTTGAGGGTCTTTGTCCTGCAACTTTTAGATGTGTCTGCTTCGACACACCAGACTCCAGTATGAGCTTGTTAGCAGAACTTGACTTCTGCTAGTGAGGTAGTTTAGCCATTTGATTCAGGTGTTCATTGAACCAGTGACCCATCTAAAAGTTGCAGGATACTGGCCCTGTAGAATCTGAGTTGAGACCCCTTATTTAAATTAAAAATGGTCCTGAAATGATTTAAAAAACTTAAAATAATATATTTTGTGTTCATTTCTTCACCAAATTAAATTATTCAAGCATTAATGAGTCCGTTCACAGAGAAGTCCCCTCCTTTTAGCATCTAGTTCAGTCTATTATAGTGTCAGCACATCTTCAGGCCTCTGATGTCAAAGCCTGGAACTCAGAACTATTAGAGCAATAATGAATATAACTGTATAACATAAATCATTTTCAGCTCCCAAAAAAAAAAAAAAAAATCTGTTTTTTACTTTCAAATCGTATTGTTTGTGTAAAGAAAGAAATTATCACATAATGCCCCATTGTAAAACTTTGCATTCTTCAATAAAAATAAAAAAAAAATGTAAACTTGTGGTTAACACTCTGTACACCTGGTTCTGTCTCCATCTCTAGTCCGTATATCCAGCAGATTATCAGCACAAAGTGAGGTTCATCATGGACAGGTCCCAGTACACAGCAGGGCAACACAGAGACACAACCACACACACACTCACACCTACCAACAAAATAAAGACACAAATAAAACAGTCAGTAATATATTGTTCAGAGTGTTATTGTTCTTTTTGTATATGGTTTTATTTGTTTACATTGATTTTATTATATTTCATTATTATTTTATATTTAATTATATTTGTTTTAGTCCTTTAAACTTCTATGTTGTTTTAATAAAATGTTAACTTTACCTGCTATGTCCAGCTCTTTTAGGCAGCTGTGGTTGTTTTAAAGGTCTTTAAAAATAAAGTTGAGTTGAGTCATCGTTTGAACTGCCCAATTTAAGAAACTATCACTTTTAGATATTATAATCTGACAATGCATTTGAGAAATCTTTTTATTGACAGGGTTCACATTCTGACGATGGGCTAAGTACAGGTCTGTCTCATTTCATGTTCTCTATTCCAGCCCTTTATGCACCTTTTTCCACTACATGTTTTCCTTCCACATAACTTTCCATGAATACAGCCCAGTCTTCCTCATTTACAGTCAGGGCATCATTCTGCACATTTATTTCTATAATCTATGTTGCCTGTGTTAAAAGATCCTGTGTAATAATCAAATTCCTGATAAATTTAATTTCATATTTTTATTAACTTTTACCATAATAAAGGGGGAACATTCTTAAAATATAATACTTTGTTTAGTACTTAAAAATATATTATCACAAAGGTTTAAATTTTGTAATTAAATTAGCAAAGTATGTTTTCCTTTAAATCTAATGTGATGTACTTTTAAATTATCAAATGGTCTATAGACAAACCATGAATAACTGCTTCTATTTCTAGTTTAAAAAAAAGACAACCCACAATTTTCTTTAAGCAAAGGATGTAAAATACATTTTTGGGGCCCTTAAAAGTTCAGAAAAATTCCAGCAAAGACAGAATAAAGCTGACGGAGCCCAGAGGTTGGGTTACAAATGAGTCATTTTTATTTTTTAGTGCAACATCACAACAAACAATTTTCACATGAGGTATTCAAAGGGATTTTTCTTTAGTTGTTGATACAAAACGTCCCACCATGATTGATGTTTAAAGTGTTGTGTATCTTTTTTTTTTTTTTAAAGCCTTTGGTTGGTTAGCCACATTCATTAGTTAAGTCTAACACATGGACAAGAATGGCACAGTAAAGCATGGTGGGTCCATGAGTCCAAGCTGAGGTAGCGCCAACATTTCCCTCAGCCCGTCCTCAGTTAAAGCTTTCTGTATGAATTTCATTATTTCCTACTTACAACAGTGGGATCGAACAGTATTTCAACTACACTAAACAGTTGGAAATAACAGGGGGAGGGAACGCGTGGCTTACAAATGTGGAAAAATAGCTTCTGTCTCCTTTGAACTTTCCTTTTTACTGGTTTCGGGGTGAAGGCTTGATTCACGGGGATGATTCTAGTTTA